ATTTCACCTGCATACTCTATGTCAGTAAGTTATCTATCGGGATATTTTGATCTGCTTCTTCCCTCTAGAATGAGAAATCAGCACTGGTTTGAAGGAGATCGAAAATTATGATGAATATGTTTCTTTTAGTGACAGCTATATGAATGATCAGAATGATCAGAACATCTTTGACGTAAATGTTTTTCCATGTGCAAAATTATATCATCGGCTTTTTGAATTGTTCTGCAAGAGCAAAGCCTCTGAACTCACCAGCCGGGAAATGAGCACCAATAAGGGATAAGCAACATGTAGATATGCACAATGGTCTTAAGTGTTTCTTTCTACAGTTGTGAACTAGATTTGAAACTGTAATAATTGACCTTCATTTCCGCAAACACAGTATCATAAAGCTCTGTCGCCGCTGGAAAATCTTTAACAAAGATCATTCACACGTATGGATACTGTTGACATTTTGGCAATGGAAATAAGGCAAAATCTTGCTAAATAATTATCCATGTATCTACGTAGGAGATCGGAACGTTTAGAATTTATTGCAGTACGATCAGAAGCGTGTTCTTCCGTTTCGAGACAAATTTTTTTCGCCTTATAATCGGCTGTTTTCTGAGTTAAGGTGAAATTTATTTTTAACTGTGAGGTTAATCGCTGTAAACTTTATAAAAACACAGCAACATGACGTATATACCTGTCATGATTATCAAGTGGATTGTCAGTTGGGTCAAATCGAATGGGACCGTAAGTAGCACTCGCATTAGACAGGGTAGTCGTACCATACACCCACTGTGATACTACCACTTTAGAATTCCATGTTGCCCCTGTTGTTTTGAAGTCAACGAATTGCCACCCCTTTGTTGGCTGGTTCCAACGAAGTGTCATGAGTATAACTCATTGCCCAAGCAAATAGTGATTAAGATGATTTTGCAGAATTCGGAAATATCGCCTCCAAAGTTCGAAGTCGACCTCTTAGCACTTTTCCACTTTCCCTGTTTGGTGCTGTTCAATATGGACATGCTTTGCAGTGCCAGGATGTATGGTGCTTCATAACCTTTCTTTCGATTCATCTGTTAGATTACGTCTAGGCCCTGAAAATGAGCTTTGCTATTCGTCTTGGCTTCGTTCAGGACATTCGATTCAAATCCCTGTTTTACTGACATTGTAACTGTAACCTAGCATATTTATACATTATACCCGCGACCCGAAAGTAGAAGCGGTCATGGATGAAGATGAAGACACATTATTCCATGTCACGTAGCTGATATACGTCGAATCACTCTCACTGGTCGGCTTCAATCAGAAACTACTCTTACAAAAATGGTACGAGCCCTCGTACCATGGTTCCATTTTCAGCGATCCCCATAGCAATTTGTGGCGCAATTAATTTTGTTTACTTGCTCCTGTTTTTATACACTCGTTTCATGTAGTTTTGTTTTTTTTATATCTACTTGATCTAGCGATCAGCACGTCTACGGCTTTAGCTCAATATGGCAGTAAAAAATCTCATGCGTTATTCAGGAACATGTCTAGATCATTGTGCAGCTTTCGACAACGTTAATTTCGCTGGTTGCTTCAGGTCTCAACCATGTAAAATTTAATGGGGGCTAGCCCTTGCCTCTTTCCTGGTTTGGTTCGTTTTCATCTTTTCTGATAAATTATTTGTCTTTAACGCCAGCTGTCATCGATTCAGAAGAACGATGGGTCGTTTAAACGATTCAGCTGTGCTTTCATAATACTGAATATTATCAGCTATTTAACTCATTTCAGTCATATTTCCCAAAATATAACATGAGTGATATAAACGTTGCTTTAGCTCGAACCCTATACCAAGGATTAGATGGGTTGCAGTACTCTTCCTAAAATTCTGGCTGTCCTGAAAAAGTCACCTTCTGCAGCTCATTCAGCTTGATGGCTTTACCAGTTGACCTTAATAGGCGCCTCTCCATGGGTACCAATTACTATCGAAATGATCCGCCTTTAATTTCCAGGTTTTTCGCATTTCCATCAGGTTATTAATATTTCAGAATCTTCTCTGATATTTGAAAATAATTTTATCTTCAGTCGTGTATGCTGTAGCAGTAGTCTGTGCCCGCCATTTTTCTTTATCTGCCAGCATTATACCTGGGCGATGATCCGTTATTTCGTTTTCAATTAATATTGGGGAAGTGGCAGAAACAATTTTCGTACGTTTCTTTTGTTTCACCACTGTGGGATGCTGATTAAGCTGCTGTTTGGTCGGCCTGGTAAATTCGCTCGCTTGCACAAATGCCAGTAAGATATCCTTGCGACGATGATGTGTCTTTCCTTGTTTTCTTGATTCGCAGGCAGAAATTTTCTCAGACACGCTCTCATCCTTCCCTTGTCATATTCTGCACTCTGCTTCTGGCTGTTTGTGCAGGATCCTCACACTGTATAATCTGATGTTCAGTGCTTGGTCCTGGGTAGCTATTGCAGGGACTACTTCCGTTTCTCCACGGGGCCCACTTCTTGATTGCCAGTTTAACGTTTGATGGAAATCTATGCTTTCAACGAGTTGGCAAAGACACTCTCATGAAGCTCCACTATTCTTCCAGCAACTCGTCAGGGCGTACTGTATATTTTCTTTACGATTCTCCGCAATTACAGCTGTGTGCTGCCCTAGCTTGTACAAGCGGATAATCTTTACAGCCTTCAGCATCCTTCCGACGGTAATAGTCAGATATTGACTTTGGATGGAGTCTCTAATTCCAGTCTATCTTCGATATTACGTCCTCTTCGTCTTTCTTCGCGCGAAGCCTGTGCTCTGTCCGTATCTGCTTCTAGATGCGCCATACCGTAAATGTTCAAGGCCCTTCGTGTTGATCTATCTAGTTCCAGTCTTCCCTTTTGCGTTCACTCGCCATTGCCTACTGTATAAACAAATATTGCTACAGTATACTAATTGAAGGTCACAATTTCGTTCTTCCTGCTTCAGGATTCGACGGATTCTCCGTTTTGACGATAATTTGATTGTTTGGTACAAAACGTCACGTCCTAGCACGCCAAGGTGCTTGTGGAACTCACTTTCTTCTAATCCCAGTATTTTGTCAATGGGCAGCGTTGCTCCTTTGTTGAGTCAAATCTTACCCTACTTAGCCTCGATCGCCCACTCATCCAAACTGAATCCGGTCATGATATGATTTTCTGCTTTTTTTAATCAAAATATCTATGTCTTTTACTGATCTTGCATGCAACTTCAGATACCTTATGTACAGCAGTCCTCCATGACGTCCAAATCCCCATGTGATTTTACACTGCTACATTTCAAGTTATATTCTTTTATGATGTTTTGCAGCAACTGACTGGGCGGATTTTTTACCTAGCAATAGAGAAGTGGCGAAATTCCCATGGAGACATTATTACTTATCAGTGTTGTTCCCGACTGTTTTATCACTACTTCGAAGAACTATAACGAAACCTTTGCTGAAGTTGTAAAATTTAAGGCATTACAGGAGCCAGATACGTTATTCTTTCAGTCTTTCCCATATAGCAATCACAGCGTAGCACCTTGTCCTCGAATAATTGGTCCTTGGGTAGCTCTGATTTTGTTCAAAAGCGTTTATGTTCAAGAAATATCCTAATTTAATATATTGTATTAATATTGCTGCGTTCAGTGAAGAGCATTAAAAGCATTACGAAAGGTAGTCTCAAAACACTTCATAGGTTCCATTCAGATTCATCTAAAAATGTCAGTTCAGCTGTATATGCCAAGTCCTTCCTTCTGATCTGCTCTGATCATATGTTCCTCGAAATCCACACTGCTGCCATCCTCTCTCTTAGCTTTTGCTCCTAAGTTCCACAATCAAAAAAAGAGTTCCATATGTCCAAGCGACTGTTATAACGATCATTATTCATGAGCCATTTGTTTCTAGCGTAGCCACAGAACGCATCAAAAGTGCCATGCCGGAGGAAAGTGGCTGAATCGATGTTTCTTCATAGGTCTGTTGGCTCGACTGAAGAAAATTGACAAATATGAAAACGACGTAATCCAATATATTTACGTTTATGAGTTGCTCCTTCTCAAAATTGCGATACGACGATTGCGACAATTCAGACGTGCGGTCAATGTGCCAAATATGAAGATCTGTCGCCGCATGATAAATGACAAAAGGCAAATCAAGAACTATGCAATTTGATGACGATAACCTGGTATTGTGATGTCTCGAAATTTAGTCCATGAAGGGGTTACCAGATTGGGATTGGATTGAAACCGTTGAACCATCTTTCTGATGCTACTGCACTAACAACTGGACTCAGATGGCTAGCCTTGAGAGTGGATGTTTGGATGAACGAATGGATAGGCTTATTGAATGTAAAAACATTAAATTTAATTTGTTTCAAATCAGCTGAATATCATAATAATTCATACATCAACAAGAATCAGAAGTGGGCGGTTGAAAGGGATTGCAGATTTACTGGACACATTATCGGTCAGAGAGAACTGAAGCGATTGACGTGGCTTATAAAATTTACATTGAGGAAACTATGCGACGACCGTAAAAGAGGTTGCTGAACAATTAGCAGCTCTGAGGAATTGGAAAGCAAAGCTTTTTGGCATTTTGCCAATGTTTTTTATTTCAAACATTAATCTATTCCTATGAATGGTAATTCAGTGGGAATAACAAACATTAGGCTATCAATTAACGAATCGTTTCACATGTTGACTTTCTAATTAATGTATGAGCTTCCACCTGTTCGAAAGAATTAACGGACCAAGTATCATCGTCACTCAAAATGTTACATAATTCTCTTCTTAATCTCATGATATTACACTTTTGTAATATTACTCTGATGACGATGCCGGTGCACGGCGTCCAAACGCGTTGTTAAAAAAAATACTGAATTTTACATCATCCTTGTTAACTGTTACCTCCTTACTTTTCAAACGGTCAACAGATCGATGCTGTGCGTTCCGTGCTGTTCAGAGATTCAAAATTTTATTCAATATCATTTCATATTTGATAAATTAATTTTGTTCCGCAAAACATTTTTGTTCTGTTCCGCCAATTTACTTGTTCTAAGCTAATCATGGCGATTCAAATTCATATCCGCCAGCACAAGTCGTACAACAGGTCACTCGAGGACCCTCATTTTCAACTCGTGCCACATGGTTATCGGTTTGTTAGGCTCATTGATCATCTGGTCCCAGTGGCCGAATTCTTTGCTGTTTCGGCGGGCGCCAAGGGTCACATGTCCAATCGTGGACATCTCCAGATCGGCGTCCGATTCGACCACGCTCAGCCTTAGGTAAATGTTCTGAAATCACAATAGAAATCTGGTGCAATTATGCGACACAGCACGAAATCGCCCACCTCCACTTGCAGATGTGATACGGGGAAGAAAATCGACTCGTTGAAAACCGCCACTCCGTTGTGCACCATTTTTAAAGATGTAGTTTTCCTCTTCACTTTTGAGCCGCAGACCAGGTATATTCTGACCAATACATCTGAACAATTGGAACAAATAAATAGAAGTAAATGGCGACACTTGCACATTAGTGAGATGTGCTTATTTAGCGAGAGAAGCTATTCAAGTTTCCAAATAAAGTGCCCCCCCCCCCGGACGTAAGAGAATCACTTCGCAAAATAGATGGCCAAATTATTCAAATCTGCATTAATATCCAGTTAATCAGCAAAAGGTACATTAAACTGTTGGTGTTCTGAAAAAGCACACTAAAGTCACAGAGTACAAAGCCTAGCCCTGAAAATGTCACGGTCTATGTAACGAAATGTGTCGGCAATAAACTGTTTTACCATCTGTTGTATTTAATGCTCTGAACCATCAGCCATTCAAACATCTATCAAGAAAGTAAATCTCATCCACCCTTTTAGCGAAAGAAACCTGTAGCAGTAATGGGTGACAAACATTAATTTGACGTGTTAGCTTCCGGAACAGAAGTCATCATCCAAAAGGCAAAACTTTTCAACTCCATTGTTGAAATTGATTGTATCACTTTGACGATAGGATCTGTGCCTGAAGCCGAAACTTCCGCTGAAGTTTAAAA